ATATATATATATATATATATGTATGTATATATATATTGAGAGTATCTGAATTTAAATACTCTTGATATTTCCGCGATAAGTCAATATAGTCATCTTTCAAACTTTTTTATACTTATTTTAAATACAAAAAACATAGATTATGTAATTACATTATCAAATGTAAATAAAAATTAATTCTAACTTAATTAATATTGAATTCGGTTATAATAACATTTCATGATAAAATCATGGAAAAATTATAGAACATTTTTAATGGATACAATCGACGAAAGTTTAGTGTTCCTAGGTTCAATTTTTGAAAAAGCCTTTTATTCGAATTGCTATTCTATTGAAATATAACAGATTGCACTTTTGCCTCGCCTGTGACAAAGTTCGTCGCGGAAATATAGAAAAAGTTTTCGACGCGCGGGGAAATTGTTGATGATAATCTGCAAAAAAATTTCCCGAGGGTTCTTTATTCTTGTCGCGAGACGCGATGATGGAGATTGAGTTCATCCGCTTCGAGACGGCTCTCCGTTCCGCGAATCCTGTATGTCTTTCGCAAAAAGATTCGATCTCTTGTGCGCGCGTGCGTGCGTGTGTGTATTCGAGCCGTGATTTAGACGGACGAATAAGAGAACGAGTAAGAGGGCGAAATTTTCTGCGAGTATTCCTCGAACGAGTTTCCCGACAAACTCGATCGCGCCGAGGAACAAGAAGACCCGTGCGTTACTGTGCACCGTTATCGGAGAGCGCGGATTATTGCGGACACGTTCGAGCACACCCGAGGTGTGATAAGTGCACCGCGTTTCCCTCTGTTTATAGTTCTTCGATTGGAAGAACATCCTCGTTTCGGTCAATACGAACGGATATACTTTCCTGTAGATTCGACACATTCGTTGAAGTGATAACCGCAACATTATCTAAAAGTAGTAAAATAAATAAATAACCACGAAGTGCTGCATCAATTAATCGTCATGTACTATGACGATCGAAAATTATTCAATTATGTTGAAGCCGTCCTTGTCTTAATTAAGACAAGTCTTGTTTAAACTTTTTAATATAACGCTTGTTTATCAACTATGAATAGAATTCTTCTTATGCATTATAAAGCGATATGTCAGAATCTTTAATTAGACAGCGCAGCTGCTATTTAAAGAGCCATTTAAATTTCTAGGTTTTATTTTTGTCGGTTAGCTGCAGATGATAAATGTGTTAGTTTCCAATTTTCCGACAACAAATATAGTTAACAAAATTTCCGGCTAATTGGAACTTCCGTCTGTCCCTTCCTAAAGTTTATCGCGTGTCTAAATGAGGTAGGTGGGATGTGAGAAGGGTATTGTGGAGCGACAGCGCAGCTCTCTGCGTGCGGGTCTGTCGAACATTGCCAGTGTGTAATTTTAATAATTGATATAACATGGTTAATTCTCTCAGGACAGTCATGACAATACGTTTTACATTTCGATATATCCTCTTTGCTGAACTTCCGTGTAACGACCTTTGAATATTCTTGCGCATACGACACACATACACGCAGAATTGTCGACTGTTATAGAGCACTGTTACACGTTTCGTCTATCCTTTACAACGTGATTCGCGGTTAGTGAAATTATATACAATTGCGAAAAACGTAATCCTTCGTTATTTTTAAATCATTATTTTTTTCGTTTGAATTGCCCCTCTCGTTTTATTTCTTTTTTTTTTCACGTTACTATCCTCATCGCGGTGTATGCTGTTGTATAGACGCAAACATTTTTCTGATTTTCCGCGGCTCGTTACTGTTTGGGCGCGCGAAAAACGACTCGCCGTCGGTATCTTGCTTCTCAAACGAATGAAGTGAAACCCGCAGCATCGAATGCAATTTATTTTCCGGGAGATAATGTCCGTATCAGACGTCTTTTTCCGCGCGAGGCCAGGAGGGTGTGCGACCGAGACAAAGTGACAAAGCAGCAGGACGCGAGAGGAGAGACGAGAGGAGGAGATGAAGAGAAAGAACGATAGACAGAGAATTGAATTTTCTACACACGCAGGCACAGAGGTTCTAAATAAACGGCATACTGAAAGCAGTTTGAAACGCGAAGCCCAGATTCTCATTTCGCTTCTTCAAAGAGCTGGTTTAAAAGCACTTTTTTTTCCTTAATGGCTAAAGAGCAACGTAGGTATATACACGATAGCTTGACTTTGAAGTTCACATCGGCATAGATATCGTAACCCCACAACTGGTATCTTCAAATGAGATTTCCATTGAGATTCATCCGTCCGAATGGAGACGCGACCTCTGATCCCCGGCGGTAGTATACGCCATACCTTTAATTTCCATCATTTTCTTATATGTTGTTTGTAAGGAATGCATTCGGAATATTTAAATATTAAATCGTATTGACAGCATATATAAACTCGGGGAAAAGATTTAGTTTCGCGACCGATTTTACAAAATACTCTCGTTTACACCTATATGTCACTTTGACAAATTCATATTTTTATCATTACAGTAATGTACCAAGCGCGTAGTATATACATAACGTATTATCGCGGAAGATACATTATACTACAATCGTTGAACAGACACATATTTTCTCGCAAATTACGCTACTTAGAGAGCACATTCACTAGGCCATCGATAAGAAATCTCGTTCTTTGATCCAACATATTTGGCGGCTTCTACTCTTTTGGTCCGGACTGCGAGCAGCCAGTTAAATTTATCGGTGACAGGAAAATGGATGAAGCGCCTC